GGGAGAGGGGTCGGCCGGACAGAAGGCGCCCCTAGGGAGGCATTCGGAGCCTGGAAGGTGGTTGGGTGCAGGGAGGTGGGCGGCTCAACGCAGGAGCACCCCCTACTGGCCCGCCTCACGTGGTGGAAACAGCGGAGGGATACAAATACCCAGCTGTGTTCCTGAGGTGGGATCTCTGCACCCGCCACATATGCATCCCAGAATGTTTTAGAACTATTGATCTATCCCAATTAACTATCTGTCAGGTGATCTGTGTTCAGGAGATGAGTAGGGTTGGGATGGGTTAATCCTGTTTTTTTGATAAAACAGACTGTAGCTGTACATGGGTGGAATTTTTCCTTGGACTGGTTGGCAAAGTTTGTTATTTTTTTTTAATACTTAATTCTTCAAAGCTTCAGCTTTAATCTACTTAGTGTGCAATGCTGGTTTAGGCAGTCCTGCCAAATCTGCAGCTACACGGGACCAATCAAGAAAGGTTGGAGTGCTGATCTGATGTTTCCTGTGTTGCATGGTATGAAATATAAGCTGCTTTTGCCAGCTAATGACCTGTTGGTGATTAACTTTAGCCCTCAGAGTCAGCATCTTTTGTTGCAGTCCTTCCTGGGTTTTGTTATAGGTTAGGCCTCTGTTTAACAAAAATTTACATGCATCTGTACCTCTGATCCTTTGACAACTACAGCACTTTTCCTGTTCTCTACTGAGGCTCTTGCTGCAAAACTCCCATCACTTAGCTGCGAAGGCATAGATGTTTGGAGCACATAGGAGAAAGTTGACCCTGAATCGTCTATTACAGAAAGTACAGTTCTTCAGAGGGAAGAATAGCGAGAGAGACTAAAACAAGTATGTTGATCAGGAAGAAAAGAGGCGCATGAGATCAGAATAGCAAAGAACTGACTAGCTTGGGGGCAGGCAAAGTCCAGCCTGTGGGCTGGATTGGACCTGCAGCAAACTCCATTTCCCAGTAGCCCCTACCCACCTTGCTGCAGCTGGTTTCCACAGAGACCCCAGCAGTGATGGCACCATGACAATGTGGAGCCGGGGTTTCCATGGAGACCAGCCCCAGCAGCGCTAGTAGAGCACACAGCTCGGTGGGGAGCTGCTCCGGGGCTGGGATCTTACAGCAGTGACAGTGGTCTGGAGCCAGGGCAGAGCTGCAATCTGCACACCTGGGCAGGAGCATGCAGGCAGTGGATTGCAGCTCCACCCCTGCTCCAGACCATGCTGTCACCACTGCAAGATCCCAGCCCCAGCTGCAGAATAGCTCCTTGCCCAGCCATGTGCTCTGCCAGTGTTGCTGTGGGCTGGTCTCTATGGAAACCCTGGCTCCACACTGTCATGGTGCCCCTGCTGCTGGGGTCTCCATGGAAACCAGCTGCAGTGACATGAGCAGGGGCTTCTGGGAAATGGAGTCTGGCTGCTGATCAGGTCCACCATTTTGCCCACCCTTGGACCAGTTCCAAAGACTGGCCAAGAAAAGGCTATGACAGTCTGCTGGTAGATGTAGCAAGTTAAACTTGGTATCATATGGAGAGTAAGATTAACAGGAAAGTCTTCGAGGTAAGACTTACAAATGAGGAGGTGGGAAAAGATCAGATGAAGCAGTTGAAATGAGTGGAGCTTGAATCTGTGCCCAGTTGGTATCCTCTCTTTCATCCTCTTAAAAATGAGTGGAGTCATCAGGATGTGGTTGTAGGATAGATGTAATAAAGGCAGAGCAGGGAATAGAGTCTTAGCCAGATGATCAGAGATCAGTTAAAATTGCCAACTCATATCTTCCAGGCAGAGTACTATATTTTATATACTCCAGTATTTAGAAAGACTTAGGAAAGCTATGAAGAGATTGCAAATGACTATAAAAAAAAATTAAAAAAAGTGTCAGTACAGGCAGGGGTTAGAATTCTGATAACATAAGCATAGTCAGAATGAGGTGAGATCTGAGTCTTTTGAGCTTCGCAGGTCTGAGATACAGAGTGGTATTTGAAGATGTGGAATAAAAGAGGTGTTTATGTAGAAGGAGTGTTTAAAATTAACATGACACTTAGGATTAATATAATACAAGTTGCTAATTCAGACTTAAAGAAATGAAAGCAACTAAGTAGTTGAAGTGCTTCTTTGTGTTCATATATGAACCTTTTAGTTCTGATCTTTGGGGTTCCCTTAAACTTTTGTATTGGGTGTTGTTATGACTAGTGGTAAATCAGTAATTTGTATGTTTGCAGGCTAACATGTCTTTGGACTTCTTGGAATATAAATCTAACTTTGAACCCTTCTTCATGATGATCTCCACTCCAGCACCACACTCTCCTTGGATAGCTGCCCCTCAGTATACAAAGAGCTTCCAGAATGTCAGTGCACCAAGAAACAGCAATTTTAACATTCATGGAAAGGTAAAATAATTTTCAAAAATCTGTACAGATTACCCTGCTGACTAGTGAAAATTAGTACACTGTTAACCTGATTTGGATATAAAATACTATGTTGAAGTTCTGAGAAGATGGGACTGATACTGTCCTGTTGTATATTTAACTATCCAAGATCTTTCTGATAGAGTTATAAGATTATGACCATTCAAAATTTTTTCTAGCACTGTTGGTGGTAAGAGAGTGACTATCCTTACCTTCAGGAACAAAATAAAAGTAGGTAGCAATGGATGCTTGAGACACAAGAACTTTTTTTTTGCTCCAAAACTGGTAGAACTAGTGATAACAGATGTATCAAAGTTCCATATTCATCTTCCGGGCTTAAGATTATTCTTCCAGAATGGCTCATAGTTGCACGCTTATAAGATATTGCCAGACATGACAACTTTGTTCAGTAGACTGTGTTCTACTCAATAGCTTTTATGCAGAAAATGAAAAGGACAGTGCCTTCCTAATCTCTATTAGAACAATCACAATTGTCTTTCTCAACTCTTAAATTGCTCCTTTTTTCCCCATTTAAAAAAAAAAAAGTTTCCAACAGAAAAACTTATCAGGCTGACCAAAAAAAGGTCTCAGTAGAGTGATGAATCACAGGGCTGGGGCCACCAGGGGATTTATATGAACTGGGGTGTCTTTGTCAGACACAATGGTACCAGGAGGATGTCTCACTGATATTAGTACAAAAAAAAACCCTATTTATCTTGGTTGGGTTAAAGTTAAGTCAGAGGTGATATGAGTAAGAAGAAAGCACTTGGAGCCTGTTGGGCAATGACAGAACCTTGAACATTTGTCCTTCAGCTGTTAAGGCAGGCTGCAGTCTTCGCCAGACTTGTTGAATTAGTGTTGTTACATACACATCCAGCAACTGGGACAAACACCTTCCACCGTCATCTGGGAGATGTACCTATTATCTCAAAGCCTGACTACAGTAATTCATGTGGTAGGCCCCAGACTAAACTGCTGCAACTTGTTCAGTTTGTGGCTGAAAGTGAAGGCCACAAGCTTCAGCTAGTAAGACATGCAGCTGCCTCTCATAGGCTCATAAAACTTCAAGAATACACCACATCACTACTCAGCCTTCAGCTCTGATTCAGTTCAGGACCCTGTTCCTAATCTTAAAGGCCCTTAATCAGCTCTAAAACTGCTTCCTGTTTCCATCCTGATGACACCAGTGTGCATAAAGGTTGCTCTGAGTGAATATTAGGAAGAAACTTTGAAAGCTCTTGCTAGAGAGCTCTTGGAAATAACGTCTTGCTGGAAGAGCTCAGAATGATTCTAACCTAACTGTTCAGAGTATGATGTGAAACCAGTCTTATTTCAGTTATGGGATACCTCCTATGAATAGAGCAGGGATGTGAAGAGAGAGGAGGCTTAGGCTAAATTAGAAGTAGATAAAGAAGTAGCAGGGAGTAGAAGTTGTATAGGTTTTGTCTTTTTCCAGAAAAGGAGCCTTACTTTAATCTGAGGCTCAGTTGCTCCATTCAGCACTTCAGAAATAGCAAGATAGAAGAGGATCTATGGGCAGCTAAGTCAGCAAGCAGCCAGAACACAGCCATTGGCTAATAGTGTAGAAACTGCTGTTTTATGTGGAGCAAAGGCAAAAAAATTCCGCATTTGCAAAAACAGTGTAAGGCACAAGCAAACCACAAAAAATCACTTTAATACCTGATACTTACAGTAGTTACTTTGTCCTTAGATGCCAGTGATACACAACAAGGGAAGAGGGAAATACTAGTTTGTTAATTTAATACAAGTGGTGCTGCTGTGTAGTCCTCAACAGTAAAATATTTATTGGTAGACCCTACTGTTCAGATCATTCTTTTAATTGATAGATGAGTGTTGTAGTCTTAGAACTCATCTCTTTCAGCACGGTTAATACAAACTCTTCATTCAGTACAAGCTCAGTTAATTCAGTAGTAAGTGTGGACTGAGGCCCAGGCTGTTAAAGTTTTCTAGGTATTGCAGCACCTTGCCACCTACTTCTCAGCATTGGATATGTAGGATTATCATGTCAATTTATAGGGAGGGTTAAGACACTGAAAAATGTGACAGTCACAAGCAAGCTGAGCAGGGAGTGAGTCAGAAGTGAAGTTCAGATAAACAAGTAGGACTTTGGGCTTTCAGCCACTTAGACACACAAAACAGGAACCAGTCTTACTGGCCAGATGATTGTTGCCCTCTGCTCAAGTGTTGTCATCTTTACATCTCTCTTGGAGTTAGTTGCTTAAAGCTATCCATGTTAAAAAGAGAGCTACCCAAGAGTAGAGTGGTGCTTAGAGAGCTTGCCTGGAAAATGAACTAAGCACATATATGTCCCTACTCCAAAGCAGAGTGTTTCCAGCAGAAGAGATGGAGAATCCCACCCCCAGAATAGTAGATAGCCAGTAGGCCAGAGCATTGCTTGGTGTGGTAGGCTAAGGCTGAAGCTCTTGCTCTAAGACAAGGATTTGAACCTCAGACTTGAATATCTGAGGTGAGCCTTCTAACCACTTGGATTTTTTGGGGGTAGAGAACAGATCTACACAAGCATGTATTGACTGGTTGTTTTGTTTGGATTGGTACCTGGCTTAATCATGTCTTGATTATGCCTGCTAGCCCAAAGTGTGGGAAAGTGCCTACTTTAAGAAATCCAGCTTCAGGGCCTTTTGGGTTAAGAGATTTGAGCAGATCATTGGGTGGAGCGGAGGTGACAGTAGGAGTTATGTTTCTACAATGCAAGGTATACCTGAAGAGGAAGTGAATTTGATGGTGGTAGCACCTAGATAGTAGATTTGGGTATGCCTAGTCTTTTTTTGTAGACTTAACCTGAAAGGAAGGTAAAGTTAGGGAGACGTGTAGATCAAGAGAAAAGGAACCCTTTTAGCTCCTCCACAGCAGTTTAGTTTTCTTGATCAAGCCAAGTCTATAGTTGCAGGCTGAATACCTGGTCTTGGTTACACTGTCGGGTTTTTTTGTGTAGGGAAATTTTAAGCATTTAACAAAAGAAACAGAACAATAACAAAGAGTGTGATTGCTGAATTCAGTTGAACATAAATTGATTCAAATTGTTGTTGTCCACACTGAGTGAAGTCCTGCAGTCTGCAAAAAGAGAGAATGGGAAAGTGAAATGGTCATAACTAAATGACTTGTATGAAGAACTTATGAGATCCATAGTGTTTGTGTTGGGGGATAGGAAGAACTGCAAAAAAGAGAAATTCTGTCACAAAAGATCCTGACCCCACCAAATTCAAGATGAAATGTAGGATGATGAACATTCAGCTCAGGTGATCTTTGTTGCCTTAGGTCTTAAAACTGAAAAGCACAAGCTTTTTATATAAGAGCTTTGGCTAGTAAGTTTTTCCAGAGCTGCTCCTGTTTTTGTACATGAAATAGCAGAATTCACAGGCCCCAGATTGTGACTTCTTTCTTGTCAGGTCTGTGACTGCTCCCTTAGTTTCTATTGCCAGAAGGGGTCTGAATTGGGTAATGGAAAGGTAACCTAACCCTTGAACCAAAGCAAAAGGCCATCCTGTTCTAGGGTAAAAGATCCAAATGGAAAAGCTCTACAAATGCTTTTTACCCTCTATTAAGCCCTCAAGTCTCCTGCCATAAATTTGTGTGGGGTGGCCATTTCCCTTAAACAAGGGTCTGAGCACTCCCTGCAAAGTTCAGTAGTCCTCAGCCCTTCCCAGGCTAAGCAATTATTCCCTTTTGGTGCACCTCTTCTCTAGATGTTGTCCAGAGAGCATGGCAACAAAAGTACACTGGCTCTAGCCTTTCCTACAATGCTGGTAACTTTGTAGAATTTTTCCAGCATTTTTCTCTACTGCCACCAGTCTTTGTCTAAAAGAGCCTGTCCCACAAAGCAAGTGAAGCTTCTGCACATGTCTCTTCCCTGGGCTACTGTACAGTGATCTCTAGACACTTTCAGCTCTGTGTTTTCAAGCTGAACAGAAGGGAGCCAAATCTCTTCTACAATTGCATGATAAAAGAGGAAGATTAGAGCCTGGTCACTTTGTAACCAGGCTACTCTTTAATTTTAATATTTAATAGTGATAATGTGCAGATTTAACCCTAAAGTATTACTGTTGCAATCAAACAAAGATTAGGAATATAAAATTTAAAAAAATTAGGAATTAATATTAAGTTGACTCCTATGTTGCTACTCTGCAAATCTTAACATTTTTTTTTCTTTTCTTTTTAAGAACAAGCACTGGTTAATCAGGCAAGCAAAGACTCCAATGACTAATTCTTCAATACAATATCTAGATAATGCATTTCGGAAAAGGTAGGAACCTGTGCTTGAAAATGTTGAGTAGAATCCCTAGCAGATGAGGCCACACTTGTAAAAATACAGTATTTAAAATGCCTGTAAAGTCTGCTCTTACGAGTTAAATTACCTGCAGTAGTTCTTTTGGTGGGTCACTGGAGGTCTTGCTTTCCATTCTTTTTTTGAGAGACAGATTTATAAGTAGTCTACAAAGCTTTGGATAGTACTTTGCATAACCATGTTAACACGGCATATAAAGGAACAAAGTGTTGCCTAATCTCATAACTGCTTCTCTTATCTTCAGTGCATGAAAGGTTGATGTATGGGAATTCCATGTTGTCTCAAAGACTTCCATATTGAATGTACTTGAGAGATGTTTAACTTTTTATCTCCCCCAGTCTCCTAGCCTTGGATCTGAGAATTGATCTGCATTTTTAGCTTGTGTAGTATTGCCAATAGTAAAGGCTCTACTTTTGCACTCAGGTAGTCCCATTAAGTTTGGTACACTTTTTTTATATTACAGTCTGGTAAACAAAGGAGGAATAGAATCACATTCCTTTTAGTTGTACAGGTTCTGTAGTAAATTTACCATCACAGATTGACAGAGGGAAGGTCCACCTACCTTTCAACGGAGTTTAGTGGTGGCTTCAACCCAGGCTAACCAGTATGGCTGTGGGTATGAATTAGATCCCAGTCTTTAGATCTAGTAACCTGATGATGTATTCTACAGGGATACAGGATGAATCACTTCAGTACCGATAACCTGCCGTTTGCCTCTTCATAATTCACTTTGAGACTTGATGGCTGTGCTTACTGCAGCACAGAGGTATAGGATGTGTTCTCTGACATACTAGGGAGTGAGGCACTTGTTAGGAATGTAACTGCCATATACTTGCAATGCCATCATGCCTAAGTTAGTTTTTAACTAGTAAGTTTGGGCACCAGTAACAGTCTAGCTGCAGCAGCTTGGAACTCAGCACAAGTTAACCACTCAGGTATTTACTTTGCTTGCTGGTAGGGTGTTTCAGCCCACTCTCTGCTCTGCTGCCACAGCTAGATAGTTAGCAGTGCCTGAGGTAGCTTCAGTATGGCTGCTATACAATTAGATGGAGTGTAGCATAGACAGATCCTTAGGTATGGCTTTGTAGTGTGGCTGGTCACTTGGGAGGGAGGCTATCTTGGATTCTAATTTTTACAGTGATGACATCCTGTCAGCTTCTTTTTGGAACATAACATAATATTTTGAATTTGCCGGGAATTAGGCTAGCACCTCATCTGCATTTCAGATCCATTCCAATATATCCGTTAACATTATAGAATTCATAGGCATCCAGGAACTCTGTCTCCAGAGAAAGATACAACTACGTTTTTCAGATATTCCTTACCCATGCATTACATGTAGCAATAATAGCCAAGAAATTCACAAGGTTAAGTAGAATATATTTAAGAATTTTTAGCTGCTTTGTGTCATTTTTCTGTCAAATTCCTAAAAAAAAAAAAAATTAAAAAAAAGGCAGGATCTGAAAGTGCACTGAACTTCATATGGTAGAACTCTGTTCTGGACATGTGACAGGCTACTACCTGCTATTTTGGGAAAGGAAGATGGGGTTGGTTTTTAGGTTGCTGCTTCCTGAAGCATGTAAAAAAATTATGCAGCCAAATCTTGGAGCAAGAACTGAGTTGAGTACATGCTAGAGGTACCCAAGAATGAAAAAGAACTGGATGGTTTAGCATAATGTTTCTATACCTGGGGGAGTTCTCTGCACTCAACCACAGCTATCATTCTTTCACTACTCTTGCTGAGAAGATTGATAATGCTTTAAATAGGAATACACAGTTTTTATACATAAATTGATCCTTGCATTAAGAAATAGTTGGTAGATTCACTACTTTTTCATGCAGAAAAGAATACTTACAGAAACTGTTTAAAAATACTTTCTAGGAGCTCTAGTTCTTCTCTCTCCTAAAAGAAGTACTCATAGGTGGCCTTGCAAGAGATTACTCTGAGAGTAACATGCTGCTTTGGTTACTTCAGAAATGGTCTCTGCCTGCTTCTAGATAAGATTGAAAGCAATCAGCATATTGACTTTCTGGACACTACAGAATAAAAACCAAAGCCAGATGAGATGGATGAAGTCTGCTTCTCTCTTAGAAAGGCTGTTGTTAAAGTGGTATAAGAGAATTCTCAATTTTTTTCAGAGTGATACAGTGGACATCTCTGTATTTATTTATATCATAATTCAAATGACCTACCTATTATTACTGTTTACCACATACAGTTAATTCTGAACTCTGAACACTGATTTGCATTACTTTTTCTCCCATACAGATGGCAAACCCTCTTGTCAGTAGATGACTTAGTAGAGAAACTGGTAAAGAAATTGGAATTCCATGGTGAATTAGATAATACTTATATTTTTTTTACCTCGGATAATGGTTATCATACAGGCAAGTAGACCTGTCCTTTCCCAAATCTGCTACAAACTTCTAGTGAGGTCTTAGAGCATGCAGTTTAATGACTGTGCTGTAAAGCACAGATTATTTGTCTCTGGTTCTGAGGTTCACTTATATAGAGGATTGTGGGGGTTTTCCCTTTTTGTTTTTGGATTTCTTGTTAAGTATCATTCTCAGCTAATTGCTGTACTTATGCATACTGTCTTAAAATACATAGTCCGTTCTTCCATTTCTATTCTGAAATGCCAAGAGGTTTTTATTGGTAAAGTTCTATTATACCAACTCCTACTGAAAGGAAAGAGTTCTCTTCAGGCCTCTCTTATATGTAGTTGAACTTCAACAAATTAGGAAAAATAGTATATTACTTTACGATTAAAGGTTGGAGTCTGACTTCAATAGACTTAAAAAGAAAATCTGTAGGTAAATATAGACTCTGGGCCTGGCTATATAAGATCAAGATAAAAGACCCATTTAACCTAGGTCTTTGGAGGCAGCTGGTGATGAGAGATTTTTTTTCTATCATAAAATGAACAAAACACAATTAAATAGATGCTTCTCTCCAATATGTTTTCCAGGACAATTTTCTTTGCCAATAGACAAACGGCAGCTGTATGAGTTTGACATTAAAGTTCCCCTGCTTGTTCGAGGACCAGGGATCAAACCAAATCAGACAAACAAGGTAGGATTAAAAACAAGGTTACAATAATGCGAGGTCTTTGCATTCTTTCAAAGTAATCCATTTATGAAAGTGGCTGAGCTGGCTAGGAACCTAACCTCCTTATTGCTGAGGTCTCTTTTACAAAAAAAGACTACTTATCCTTAATATTTAACACTGAGTATGCACCTTGTTTGGTGCATAGGTGACCAAGCCTTCTACGTAAATCTGTTGAGGTGCAGGGGTTGGACATTCCCAAAACTCTACCAACATTTCAGAACACTGAAAACTCAGTTCAGCTTATTCACATCAAGGGTGGACATAAGGTGTTGGGCATGTTTTATAAAGGGGTTGAGCCACCCAAGTGTTCATAAAAGAATCTTACTATCTTGTTCTTAAATCACTATCTAGTTTTAGTCTTTCTGGACCCTGATCTTTATGAAAGTCAATAATGCTTTGTTTCCCTTGCCACTCAGATGCTTGTTGTAAACATTGACTTGGGTCCCACTATATTGGATATTGCTGGGTATAACATGAACAAGACCCAGATGGATGGGATGTCATTATTGCCATTGTTGGTAAGTATACAGATGGGAGTAACTAAGCAATCTAGTCAATATTCTTTGAAGAAAATACAGTTTCCTTTAATGATATGGAAGGATGCACATTCCAAATATTCTGTCCCTGATGGCATTTTTGGAGCCGCCTTAGCTGGATGGAAACAGTAATAAAATACAAGTGTGATATTTGAATGCAGATAAATTAGGGTGCTTTCTGCTATAAGCAGGTGAATTTTTAATGAAAAATTACTTTTATTCTTTGATTACTTATACTGCTGGTAACAAATGGCTCCTGTTTTAAAAGGGCCTACTATTTGTCTGCTCAACCAAGTCACCTAAGTTTGAATATAGTATGAGGGCAAATTGTGACAACTTCATATTTTATTCAGCAGAATTTTAATAGGTGGTACTGGAGAAGAAATCTAAGCCTTCCTATAGGTGAACAGAAGTCTTTTCAAATAAAGCTGCTTGTAGCTGATCCTTTACTTGACCTACAAATTGAAAGCAGCCCTTGTGGAGCTACAGGGAGCCATCAGGATTTAAAAGAGGGCAGTCTTAGAATCATAGAAAATTAGGGCTGGAAGGAACCTCAGGAGGTCATCTAGTTCAACCCCCTGCTCCAAGCAGGACCATCCTCAACTAGATCATCCCAGCCAAAGCTTTGTCTTAACCTCCAAGAATGGTTATTCTATAACCTCTCTGGGTAACCTGTTCCAGTGTTTTACTACCCTCCTTGTGAGAAAATTCTTCCTAATATCAAACCTAAATTTCCTTTGCTGCAACTTGAGATCATTGCTCTTTGTTTTGTCATCAGCCACTACTGAGAACAGTCTAGCTCCATCCTCTGTGGAACCACCCATCAGGTGGTTGAAGGCTGCTATGAAATCCTCTGTCTTCTCTAAACTAAATAAGCCCAGTTCCCTCAGACACTCCTCAGAAGTTATGTGCCCCAGCTCCCTAACCATTTTCATTGCCCTTCTGCTGGACTCTCTCCAATTGGTCCACATCCTTTTTGTAGTGGGGGGGCCCAAAACTGAACACCGTACTCTAGATGCTGCCTCACCAGTGCTGAATAGAGGGGAATAATCGCTTCCCTTGACCTGCTAGCAACACTCATACCAGTGCAGTCCAGTATGCTGTTAGCCTTCTTGGCAACAAGGGCACTATGCTGGCTCGCTTTCAGCTTACTGTCCACTGTAACCCCCAAGTCGTCTTCTGCAGAGCTGCTGCCCAGTCAGTCAGCCCCCAGGCTGTAGCAGTGCACAGGATTCTTCCATCCTTGTCCTAATAGAAACTCATGCATTTTCTTTTGTGCCAATCCTCCGATTTGTCTAGGTCACTCTGAATCCTAGCCCTACTCTCCAGTGTATCTACTACTCCCTCCACCTTGGTGCTGAGGGTATACTCTATGCCAACATCCAGGTTGTTGATAAAGATATTGAACAAAACTCTTATTGTATGAGTAATGATAAGAGGGTATCCAGTTTAAACTCACTTTAATTTAAAAATCTTATCTGTTACAGATTAAACCTTTGAGTTTCTATATTGTTTGTATGGGTTTTCAAGTATACACGGCAAAGAAGAAACATGCCTTTTTATCTGTAAAAAGGTGATTTATAAAACTGCAAGTGGGGCAATTTTAAACTTTCAGTCCTTAAAGTTGATTGGATTTTTATTTGATTACGTCTTCATAAGACAATTTTGAAATGCTGCCTCATTTTTTAGCTTTTACATTTGTTAGAGGTCCATTGATATATTGGTCATATATTGGATTGGCACTGATAAAACGGAAAATTAACATTCCCGACAATCAGCATTTTTTGGCCATTGTAACTGATAATGTCACTGGTAAATGCCACATGTATGCGCGCAGCTGCAGCAGTCACGCAGCCAGGAATGCAGTCCAATAGTGACTTGTATCCAGCTAGTAATTCTGGGGGAGACAAGGGACGTATTGGGGGCAGATCGAGGCCTTCAAGAAAGTCTTTATCAGTGCGCTCCTAATGTTTGTATGTGTGTTCATGTTTAAAAAAACAAGCAAAACTACATACCCTCTTTTTAATGACCCCTATAACTCAGTGGTATTTGGCAATTTTGTGAACAGTTAGTAGTATGTCATCCAGAACACTGAAGATCTTTACTTACTGCATTGTCAAACAGCAAAATAACAATAATTATTATTTTCTTTTAGAGAGCAGACAAAAATGTGACCTGGAGATCGGATATGTTGGTTGAGTATCAGGGAGAAGGGCTTAACAGCAGTGATCCTACCTGCCCTGGCTTGGGACCTGGTGTCTCTGTAAGCAGAGCTAAAGTTATTCAGTGTAAATGTATTTGTATGTTTCCTGATTACCATTTTAAAATAGAACCTCTATTTAGAGATTTAGGGTAGTCAGTGACCCTACATGCATTCCTATGGTGTAGGAGATTAAGATTTCTTTGTGGTTTCTTGATCTGTAAGTCAGGCTAGCTTCATTGTGGAAAGTGGGGGGGGGTGTTTGTTCGTTTTAATTGTTTAACATCAGCTTTTTATCCTGGAAACTTCTTAATTAGTGCTTCAATGTCATACAGATCCCCTTTAAAATACTTGAAGGGTTGGAGAATGCTGAAGAATACAGTATCATGTGTGTGAAACTGTAATGGTCTCTTGACACGGCCATTTAAACACATTCTTTAGGTGGAGATGCTCACTACTTAGTAGGGCTGTTGTTACCAGGATAATAGACAGTTTTATATTGGTATTAGATGGTACTAATGCATAAGCTGTTTTGATGCAGTTGTTAGGCCTGCATGCTTCTGTAGTGATAAGTGTAGCAAAACTATTGCAACTTCAGTGCTGTTTCATGCAGGATTAAAGTTGTAGTAATTGAGCTTACTTCTATGTCGCTATAGGATCAGGCGGATGTAAGCTTTATAATGTAACAACCAATGTGCACTCCTGAGCAGCAGCAGTTTCCCCCTCCCTAAAAGTGTTAAAGTATGCTTGTCCACAGCCTGTAATACTGTGAAACTAATGCAGACTTATGAATAGACTGAAGAGGAGGCTATCTTACGGTATTAGTTCTACAAATACCTTGCTGAGATAAACATTTATACTGGTGTTTAAAAAGGACAGATTACTTAAATCTATACACTGAGGTAATTTCACTCATCTGGATATTACCCTGGAAGGAATCAGAAGTAAAACTCCAGCAGTGTAAGTTATTCTGGTTTAGGTGCAGGATTAGATCACCTACTGTGAGAGCTTCCTCAGGATAGCTACATGGCATGCTTGTCTGTTCCTGATCACAAGTATGCTGTTCAAAATAGTTTAACTCTTGGACTACTATATTCCTTAGAAAAAATAATTCAACCATAGAGACAATACCAACAGATTCTCTCTCTGCCTGAAGAAGAGTGTCTGTGCCGAAAAGCTTGCAAAGAACAATTTTTCCAACTATTGAGTTAACTTATTTGGCAAATGTGATATCTTTTATTAAACTAATATAATATATTTTCTAAGGCAGACAAGGTTATCTGTAGTAGAACATTCAGCTAATGTAGAGAAGATGCATTGGTTTGACTATCGGAGAAGGCTGTCGCATTTAATCTTCAGTATTTTTTGTGACTGCTATGTGTTTAAGCTGCTTTATTTTGTCTAGACTCTGGCTAGAGGATTAAACCAGGTCAGCATGAAGAGATGTTTTAACTTTTTTTCCTCAAATTATTTCTTCTGCAGAATTGTTTTCCAGACTGTGTTTGTGAAGATTCCTACAACAACACATATGCTTGTGTGAGGACACTGTCTGCTTCATGGGATCTCCAGTACTGTGAATTTGATGACCTAGAGGTAACTTTTTTAAAAATATCATTTAACAACTCTGTGTTTAAATGTTTGGCTCCCCATCTGCAGTTATCTCGCTGCAACAGATGTTAATTATCATTTAGTGCCTGCCTGAACATTTTATCTGGCTTCAAGGCTTGCATAAAGTACTTGGGGAAAGGAGACTAGCTCCACTTCTAGGCTAAATATTAGATTTAATTGCTGATAGAAATATTTAACCAAAACATCTTTTAGGTTCCAGAGAGAAGGAGATAGATGGGCAATAAAATTCAGCCCTGGAACAATTCCTACTAGCACCGAAGGTGACTTTGACCCTAAATGTTTTAACTTTTAAGTGGCAGAGAACTCTGCTGTAGACTAAACTAATGGCTCTCCACAGTCTTGTGTGCACAGTGTGTGTTTTGTTGTGCTCAGTAAAATATTGCAGCACAAGAGAGCTTGCTAATAATATTTTTGCTATAAAATATAAGCTTACCTTTTTCCACCAGTATATTTAACTGACATTCCATTACCACTTAAACACGTGGTCTTCTGACGCATCAAATTTTTCTCTCCAAAACTTCAGCCTGCTTTGTAGGTGATGCAGGCAGAATGATTCACATGTTAATATGTGGAGCAGTGTCTCCAAAAATGTATTTTGGAGCAGACAGCAATGACAGTGTTTGTTCCAAGGCAGATTTTTGCACTTCTACAAAAGGGGAGATCTGGGAACACTGCAACACCTTGCCACACCCTAACAAAATGCCATCTTCTCTCTATTCACCACAATTTCACATCAGACCTCTTCCCTATACACTTCAGGGCTTTTTGGAAAGCTTGTCTGGAATGATTCATTATTGAGTGGGAGAGAGCATGCTATGTAAAAGCTAGCCTATATCAAGGGTCATAGTTAAAGCATCACCTATAGCTCTTTCCTGGTTTTCTGGAGTTTGGCAGCGTTTAATTAGCAAACCTGGAGGAAAACAGAGCACTGAGCTTGTGTAACTGTGACTCCAGATCAGTTTTATCTGCACTGTGGTGTTCACATGGAAAAGTAAATTGCTATCATCCTGTCTTATTAAAATAAAGCAACTGCGTTAGCCTTTGAGTTCCGTTTCAACAATTATTCCACTGACCGATTTTGCAAAGATCTGGGGTAGATGAAAAAGTGTTTTGCCAAGGTAGAGCTAATTAGCCATGTTTTAACCAGTTGGAAATAGTGAAGATCAAGTGTATGCAGTTAATTCAAACATGACCATTGAGAAAAGACAAAGTAAGCCGATTTTTAATGGCCTGATCGGTTTTACACTAAAAGAATGCTAGGGCTACAGAAAGACTTAAGAAAATTGGCTTAAGAGAATCTGAGTAGATCAGACTTTCCTCTCTTTAGAAACTAATTAATCTATTAATTACATTACTAGAAAGTTAACTTCATGGCCAAAACTTCCTTCCTGGCAGCCAAGAGTGGATGCTATTTGTGGTGTATACAAGGGGTGAAAATGGGAGCTCCCATATTCCTTTAAGGCAGACTCCAAAGCTGATCTACAATATACTGTAACTCATGGTATGCTTCAAAGAACAGTCCAAGTGATTTACAGCCTTTTTTAGGCATATCTAAGCTAGTCTGTATCTAGCTAAGCTAACAACTGTCTGTAAAGATGCAGCTTCCTTGTCTTCAGTGTGGGTTGTACAAGCCTGCTCAAGACCCTAGATGCTTGGCTAAATGGGCTGGACTTGTGTCTGAGTTGCTGCATCTCAGTACAGTTGTTTACAACAAGTATGTACAGCTTGACTACAAGCTTTGCAGGAGTTTCACCCAGAGCTGAAATCCCATTTAATTCATTTTTTTATTTTTGAGAGGAAGAGGGAAGGAGAGAAAAGTGAGTGGATGTTAGATTAATTTATTGTTATTCTTGTATGTACCTTTTGGTATGCCATAAAATGACTTTCGTGCAAATGAAACTACATATATAAAACTTATTTAGCACTTCCCCAAAAATGTTTTTGCCTTCAAATTATAAATTAGGGCAGGGATCATTTCTTAATGGTCTATAAAGCACCTAATATGTAGTGAATGGTACAAACTAACTGACAATATATACATTAAAGCTAATACATAATACTAGAAAATAAATTGTCACACTTTTCTCACAAGTAGCGTACAGACTATATATTAAATAGATGATGTTTAATATAATAATACAGGAATTGTTTCTCTACTTACACAGGTGTTTGTAGAAGTCTATAACTTGACTGCAGACCCATTTCAGATTAATAATATTGCTAAAACAATAGACCAGGAAATTTTAGAGAAGATGAACTATCGACTTATGATGTTACAGTCATGCTCTGGAGCAACGTGTCGTACGCCAGGAGTCTTTGACCCAGGGTAAAAACATTTTTTAATCTTTAATTTTATGTCTGGTTATATTTGTATATAGCATCTCAAGAATACCTAAAATTAGTTCCTTTGACATGTAGCTCTACTTATGAGATTATAATTCTATTTTTCATTTTCATTAAGGAAAAAAGGAACCTTTACCTTAGAGAACTAGTTGATGCTGCTGTAAATACTTAAATTCATAGAGATTATCTAGCAATGTATGTACTTGGTCTGAAAAATTTGCCTAAATGAAAACTCCAGTGCATACCTTCCAAACAGAATTATGAAAATGGCCTCTCTTGTCTTGGACAATCCACCTACACTTTTAGTCTATCAATTTAAGTTTAAAATGTAAACTTAAAATTGTTCAGGCTAAAGATAGATAAATAAACAGTATGTGGTATCTGTTAAATATAAAAACCTATCAAATACAAGCTCAGTAAAAATGCTAATGATACTTTAATGTAATTCAGTCAGCCATTGTCAGGATTAAGCAGGGGTGCCACTGAGGAATCTGGGGAAGGGGACTAGAGATGAGCTCTGGTGGAGCAACTTCTGGTCACAAAGGGGTGCCCCAAGAGGG